TTACACAATATGACACCCTTTGCAAAAAACAACAAAAAGTTGTATGGCTGGTCAGTACTTGCTCTTCACCACTATTTTCCTTCCCTACGTCAACAACTTTGGAGGAAAAAGACCTGGAGGGAGCTCCTGGTTTCAAAATTAAACATTTTTATTATTATAACACCAAAATTTTAATTTCAAATCACCAATAGCGATTATTTGGCCTGAGACATTTAAGGTTCCATGGGACCAAGTGAATTACGCAGTGCAGTAACAAGTGTAAAAAGACCACTTCCCCCTGAACACTGCAAATGTACAACAGAGGGTAAACCTATGCAGTTAGTAAGTAGCAGTTGGGTAATTTTCTGTGGAAATCATAGCATTATATACTGGCAAAACTGCCAAAATTACTATAGAATTTACCTGTATTTCCTAATTACAATAATATCTGTCATTCAATTACAATGAGCTCACTGTAGAAATTACAGTAACTGGCTGGAAACCCTGCTGCCAGTACGTGTATCACTTTTTTTCTTACAGTGTTAATGGTCCTAACACACCACATTTTAATTACACACTGCTGGCCCTTTTGTTCTCATTCAATGAAATTTAAATAAACATTAAATATACAGTGTAATACTGTTAAACAGGTGGTGTGACATAAAATGGGCTACATACAGAGGAGTCAGTATGTGTTTGATGCAGTTTCCCTCTCCCTGCATGTAAACTATAACAAATCCCAATATACTGCATCTCTTGCAAGTTATTTACATGCCACATCTCTTGTTGTTCTTTACAGAAACTATTTGTCTATGGACATGAGCAAGATCAGTGGGTTAACAAAGTACGTTGAGCCTAAAGCCGGAGTTTTTAATGTCACAGAGGTTGCTCTCTTTAAACCTGGCTAGATCTTCTTATGGTGCAAGCCTAACCTGCTCCGGAGGAAATTACCTTCAGATGCTTGGATTATGTACAGATACAACGTAATTCCTCAGTTGTTTCAGGTAATAGTAACACTTTAAATGTTACACGGCATCATCCACACAGTAAAAGAACAATGAAGGTACAGCAACTACATAACTTTGGATGTTGTTTCTATGATCAATCTTGAACTGCTGTCAATAGAAAACTAATTAAAAAATATTGAATTAATAAAATTCCTTTCACTTTGATTTAGCCAACAACTAAAGTGATTTCCAAGTAAAACAAAACAGACACAGACACAAGTGGAGATAACTTCTCCACTTTCTGGAGTATGTGCATAGTTTGATGACACAAAAAGTGTGTTTCATTATATTATGAAAAAGAGCTAATATCACTTAGGTTCATTTTACATATTAATGACATGAATGTTACTGTTGTGCACTCATCCAGTAACATGTTGTTTCTTAACCAATTTCAGTTGGGTTCTATGTATTTTTACATTAATTGGCCTAAAAAATGTTCAGTTCCAAACATTTCATTAAAGTGAATCTGCGCAAGTGTCTATGGGATGGTTTTGATTTCAGATCTATACTTTTATTATGAGTGAGGGTTTTTTTTACCTCATCCTGCCAAATCTTAAAGTGTGTCCGTATGTTTTGCACGGATGTGTTTAGGTGTAGGAATGCATTGTAAAAGTTACAAAACAACAATCTGTTAACAAGTCAAGTTATTAGTACTTAATTGATAGTAACAACAAGCACACTGTATCCTATATCCCAATGTATCACAGTTTCTCAATACTCCCTGCAGGTATCTGGCTGGCTGAAACAGGGATTACTGTAAATACCTGTAAAATGTATTATTCACCATGCACAGAAAAATAAAGCCTCTTGATAATGTGCTGGTGGGAAAGAGCATCAGCTAGATGAACCTTATAATATTTGGGACATTGCATAACATGTCACTTGTTATAGTCTTCATGAATTCACTCAGAACACTTTTACTTGCTTAATCCTTTGTGATGATAGTCTTAAAAATATATAAAAGGACCTATGTAGTGTTACTTAACATGTTATTTTGTTAAAGATATTGCTTGCTGTGACTGGACTTTTACAGAGCTCCAACTCATTCTGAAGCATCCTTCCTGCCTCCAAAGAAAAGCTGATTCAGGTCTCTTCAGACTGGTTTTATGACGTTAACATCACTCAAGTGTCTGGGGGTGAAAACAACACATCGTCCTGAATGGCAGCACATGCAGGATCACTAAATACGAATTCCCGTCATTCCTGTGACTCATCCAGGCAGGACCTGCTGAGTGGAATTCCTGGTTTCCATGCCACATCTGGACAAGTAATCTGATAGTGTGTCAGGCCCATTAACATGGCCTATCCAACGCTAACAAGTTACACTGAACCTTAACCTTTTTGTCTGTATATCATTTACGTAATTCACTGGTAAAGTAATTACATCTCTTCTCCGAACCTTACAGGTTTGATGGATATTATATTACTGCGCATGCATGTATAGTTTGATAAGAGGGGCACACACATCTTCTGAGGATGTGACTCATATGCTCCCATAAGTCATGTGACACAAAGTCCTCATGAATTATTAATGATGCCTTGCAGTGTCCTTCTGCCAGCCTCTAGGAAGTGACTTCTTGTTCTGCAGGGATACAGTCTTGATTGATCATCCACGATAACAGAGACAAGGAACATAAAACTGAACCCACAAACCTGCTTGTTGCACTTTTGGTTACTAATGTAGCCACAAAAGTGCAAATGTGTGTCATTGCTGTTTGGAATTAATTAGTGCATGCTGAGAACCATGGGCTAAATAAACAGATTCATAAACTAACAAGTCAGACTGGCAAAGAGGAAATACTTTTGACTCATCCTTTTTATGAGAAGCTTTTTGCTGAACCAACTTAGAAAAGGCATAAAGATTTTGATAGACCTTTTGGGTCAACTGGTCATACCACAGATACCGAAGATCCATTTAAAATAGAAATACAAAGCATGACAGCCCTATTTATTGGCAGGATAGCACCAAGATATAATTTATGTGTATTCCACTGTGGGGCAAAATAAACTAAGCTTTCTCAAAACTGACCATCTACATTATCTTAAAATGCTTCCTGCATACTGAGACGTCATATACTGGCAGGCAAAACCCTGTTTTAAAAATAGTTTTAGCGACAAGCAGCTTTTATTCTTTCCAGATGTCAGATGTTTTTTGTGCCATGAAACCTGCTCTGCTGCTGGCGAGAGAGCTCACTAAGCCACCAGAGAACAGCTCTGAAAATACTTTGAACAATATTTGGAAAGTATCCATCCAATTATATCATTCACTTCATTCCTTCATGTTTTTCTTTCATGAATAATACACTATTCCTGTTGAAAATACAAGTGGGACACTGTCACCCATTTACTTTCCTTCCCAGAAATATGTCCTGTCGTGTGTCTTTTTCCCAACAATCAGATCCTATCGCATTTTTGTTTATTCTGTCCAAAGTGTGGCAATAACTGTGTTAATAGTTTTATGAGACCTCTGTAGTTCTTTGTATGAATGTGTGTCCTGAGCATGATGGAGCACATGCACGAAGTAGTTAACAGTTTGTAGGATTTACTGTAAGTTAGCTTTAGAGAAATGAGTTTATCATGGTCTCTATTGGACTCTCTGACCTCTTTTCGATTCAGATAAACAGAAACTTTCTCAGCAGAGCCTCTCCCCCTCCTTCTCCATGGAGCAACAATAGACATCTGCTCCTAAAAATTGCCTCTCTATGTGGAAAAATACATGGAGTTCACAAATGCTTTTCAAAGAAGAGAGAAGCGATATTTGATAAGAACAGAAATGTGTTTGACACATCTATAAAGAAATTAGGCAACATCTGGCAATATCTTGTTATAGGAAATAACAATTGTTTATTCATTCTGTGTATATGTGAGTACAGTTTTGTGTGTGTCATGAAAAGGAGAAAGTGATGATTAATAGAGCATTGGAACCCACAGTATATGTATCATCTAATCAAAATGTTATATGTTATTTTGTGGAAAAGTACTGTACAATTATACACTTCCAACTGACTCGCAGAATGACTGAATGTAGTGTAATGTTGTGTTTATACTAATTTCTCTTTTCAAAAGTAATTTTTAATACTTAACTTATAACTACCTGTTTCCCTTTTCCACAAAACTCAGACTGACAATGATTAAAATCCAGTTTTGCTTGTTAAAATCAAAGTAATGGGAATATTTCCAGCTGCTAAATGTAAGCATTTCCATCTTCGAAACTAATTTCCTCCACGGTTACAAAAATGAATCCACGGATGTGATTGGATTGTTGGATCAGTAGGGGGTGCCAAAAAAAGTAATATTGTATTGTTTTTGTTACCTCAAACATATGCACTGTATGTGACAGTAGATGTTTGCCCTGTGATTCATATACAGTATGTGCAGCCCAAAAAATATTGATTATTTCAAGTTGCATCTATTGTTTTTCTGATATTTGATACCCAGTGACACAATCATATTGAATTATGTGTATACAAGAAATGAACAAACTAAAACTTCAATCAGTAATGTACAGTGATAAAAAAAAAAAGGTGAATGAATGATCATTGGTATATTCCAAGATTAAACATGAGTTCAGTCAGAAGAAGAACTGTCATACTGGATAAGGAACAATAAATTATTTTTACAATCTTTCACTTATGTATTATAATTATGTGTTTATTGTTTCGGATCTTAATTTTGTGTGACTGTACAGGTGTGCTTAAACACACTTGGTAATGGTACATCCAAAATAAATACTGACATGATGGATCTTGGCACCTGGCTGCATTGGGCAATGTTTACAATGAGCAGTAAAGATAAGAGAGTGTCAGTACAGGATATGACATATATGGTATATTGGCATGTATCAGTCAAGCTGAAAAAGTTTTCTTGGCAGTCACAAAAAATAGAAAATAATTGTTATCTCCTATTAATCAGTAAACAATCTAAAGTTTACACTGGGCTATGAGGATGTTGCGTAAATGTGGATGTACTATGTCACAAAGCAGTACTTTACCAGATTTTCTTTTTTTTTTACAACAATTGATGAACTGCCTTCGAGCAAACATTTAACCCACTGCTGCTCCAGTCAGGTTGGTTAGAGGGAGCTGTGAGAGTAAACCATATTTTTAATTATCTTTACAACTATTTCTAAAGGGACAAAAGGCTTAAGCAGTTGCATACACGAAGAGTTTCTAACTTTTGATCCAAAAGTTTCTGTACCCTGTGACTCAAACGTGTCACTCTGCAGTTTCCACCAGGGGATTCAGAGGTATGAGATGGAGAGGGGTAAGTGAGGGGGTGGATGAGGGGAAACGGGGGGTCGGACAGAGGTGAGTAAGAGATGAGTCAACAGCCCTCCACTATAAGATATCCTGATGGAGCCTAACAGTGGCATACGCTCAGGCACCGGCAAAGGTAAGGTCAACTCTCCTCTCCATCTCATTCATTCAGGCTTCAACTCTTCCATGCTTGTTTCACTATCTGCGTTCTTAGAGACACTTGGTCTTCATTGTTTAAGTTGTTCAGTTAATAGGGATGTTTCAGTGTTGGATTTATTTATTTATTTGTATAAGTATTTGTTAAAGATGTCAGTGAAGCATTGCTTTTAGAGAAATTCTTGTTGGTTAAATACATTGCGTGCATTGTAGCTGAGGTTTTTATGATCTCCAGTCTATGCTCTGTGTTTATTTGTCACAGAGCATGTAGCAGAGATTTGGAAAACCGGGGGTTGAGAATAATCGTTTCAGCCAAAGTCAGTGATCTTTGTACCTGTTACACAGTCAGAAATTCACAGGTGTCTCTATCACAAATATTTGCTGCCATAATCAAACATACTGAGTAAATTACTGGAAGGAAGCTTGTTTGTATGTAGAAAAATGATGACATGCACGGGGAACTGAACTGAATGCTTGCTGTCTTGGTGAGCTGAGACAATGGTGACTGAGAGTGGAATAACTGCAAACAATATTAAAAGGGAAAGGGTAAACTATGTAATCTCTGATCATGTCCAATTTCATTTCCCCAGGGTCACCAGTGCTTTTCTTAATTCTGTACATCCGGGGAAATACTACAAATATGGACTCCACTCTGGCCATCCTATTTTCTATGTTGCAACTTTTAATTGTGAGCACGGCTGCTCCTCTGCCGGTGGAAGTCGTGAAGATGAAATCGAAAGTGAAATGGATGGCTGAACAGCTAGTGGTTAGGCTGAACAGAGATTTCCAGGTAACATTGTGTTTATTGTGACACAGAGTCTGAAGTGTTTACAAAGGTTGGTGTGTTTTTGACTGGACTTTTCCCTCTCTTGCCGTAGGTCCCTATTGGCCTGACACTCAGTCCACCTGCAGATGATCTGGATGGACTTTCCTCCATAGTGACAATCTTGGAGGGTTACAACAGCCTGATATCCAACTCCCTCGATGGGGTCTCTCAGGTCAAGGTTGACATCTCTTCGCTGACGGGATTCCTCAGTCAGTGGAGGCAAGAGCACTGCAGTGAGCAGCGGCCAAAGCTTTCAGTACCAGGGGTGCTGCAAGAGCTACAGAGACGGAAAACGTTCATTCACACCGTGAGCATCGAGGCTCTCATGAGAGTGAAGGAGTTCCTCAATCTGCTGCTGAAAAATCTAAATCATCTCAAGACTTGCTGAAAGACAGACATTCAATATTTTAAGTTGTTGGCCAGATTTCTGGACAAGATTTGCAAGTCTGCATCAGTGATGTCTGACTTTGCATTCTCCCCCTGGCTACGATGAACTTTTGCAATGTGTTTTGAAGGAAATGTATTCTTGAACATGAACTTATTTATATACACATGTATTTATTTATATATTTTAGTATTAGTAAAATATGTATTTGGTAACAAATGTTACAAAACACACTTTTCATCAGGATGTTTGCAGCAATAGCGTATGTTCAGCAGGAATGTTTATATGCAAACTGATTGACTGCTTCTGCCTCTGGGTGAAAAATATGGATCGATATATTAATTCAGTCATGAATCTGATGTGTAAGGTTGACTGCAGCCAGAGGAAATCACTGAGTCATCCCTGGAAATTCCTGAAAACCAGCTTGAAACCCAGAACAGTTATGTTTGTATGAGAATTAAAGATAACAGGAAGAACAGGAAGGGCAATATTTCAATGCAATATCATCAGCTCTTCCAAAATGGCTATTTATATCCGTAGATATTTTGTATATTTTTGTACAGTTGACACTATTTTTTTATAACTAATGGATTAAAACTATTAATAAATATTTAACAACAACATGTGTATAATATGAAAGTATGTCAGTGTTGTGTGAAGACTGAAAGATGAGGTGCAAAAGATCAGAATGAAGTAAAAACAGCTCGTACACAAAGTTAAAATATAACATCAGTTGTGGGTGGTCACCTCTTGCTACACTTGTACATTCAAGGTTTCTGAGTGGGAAGTGTTTATCCAGAGCTATCAGTTTAAGATCAACTCCTGATAAAAGTTAGCACTACCAAAACTGAAAGTAATTGCAACTGTTGCATCTGTGAATCTAACAAATGTGGATTTAAAACAAAGAGATAATGATTAACAATAAAATGCAAATGCAATGGTTTTAATATATTTTCATAAAAAGCCATGTACACGGGGGGGAAAAAATCTTACATTATTTAGTTTGTTTAGTAGTAAAAAACAAACACTGATTACAGAAATGCAGGAACGGGTAAGTGGCATTAAAGCTTCACACATGGACATTGTATACTGTACAACTGACACCGAACTATTGTACTTATTCTAAAACCTCTGGATGTCAAATGTGGAGAACCTCTGTTGCCATAAACACATTTATTCTCTCTCTCTTTCACACACACACACACACACACACACACACACACACACACACACACACACACACACACACAATTAACTATCAAACCACTTGTTTCTTTTCATGTTGGTGTTCTTGTCACCGCTGCCCATCAGTTTCTTTTTATATTGCTCCACCAGGTTGTCAAAACGGTCCCGATCCCTGCCCTTGAAATTCTTCTTTGCTGTGTTAGCCTTCTGGAAAAGAACAAAATAAGACACTCATAAAGTGTATCAGACCAACTCTGATAAAGTGCCACCAAACTAACAAATAAAATAAAAAAATGTAAGTCCAACGTAAAATGTGTGTAGCTGATGAACACTTTCTTGGCCTACAATGTACAGCATAATTCTCTCCTATTTATAGTGCCACTATTTGTCCCGACGGTGTAGTTAAAGATCTTACAGTTCTCTTTAAATTCCCCCCCAAACACCAGATTGTTGCTCAGTAGGTCATACTGTACCTCATAATATATAAAATGCCAACAGTATAAGTTATTTTTAAGTTCCCAGATTGTTTCCCTTTATTCCCCAACATCACATCTTGTTCACTTGTCCCTACATGTACGTATCAGAATGTACACTGTAAGTACAAGAAATTACATTGTACGTTGCAGGTGATACTCTAGTAAAATTTTTCAATTGCATCTCATAAAACAAAGAATGTTTCTTTCCACATTTTGTTCAATTTAGAAACAGCTGTTTGTGTTCACCAATGCTTATTATCCTTTTTTAATTTAATGAGCCACACTTAATGATGTGTGAAAATATTTCTTTGAAAAAGGCCCTTTAATGCAAAACAATACTGTTCTCCTCCTGCAAAGCACTCTCTATTTTCAGCTTTCCTGTGCTAACTTGTTGTTCCATGTTTAAAATTGTTACAGCCATTAGCTAACAGTCTGTACAGTTTATCACCAGTAATCTAAGCAAGTATGACAGAGTGATCAGGGTGTAAAACACAACAGAGCTTGCTACAAAGTAACTGTGGTGGCCAACAAACACTGACGTCCCTATAGTGTTGCAGTATGTCAAGTCCTGAGAGAGGATGTTTAGGGCTGATATTTGTGAGATTACAAAAAAATGTTTTACATGTTTTTGGTAAAACTTTCGACCAATATGTGCACTTAGTGAGATTTTACAGTTGAAAAATAAACCTGTTAGTGCTCTAACTTACAAGCGATTTAATGGAGACAATATTTCTTAAATGTTCTCAAAATATTTATTATTTTTTATATATGGTTATAAAATGCTGTACATAGTGCACATATATCTCTTATTCTTATTTTTCTATTTCTATTGCATCTTATATTTTTCTATTCTATTTTGATTGAATGTGTTTTTCCTTATCTATTGTGTTGTGTTGTTTCTTGAGCTACTGTAACAAGCGACTTTCCCCAATGTGGGAACAATAAAGTCTATCCTATCTTATCAGTTGAAAAATGTGCCAAAACCAATACAGCGATAAGCTCATTTTGGCCAAAATAAATCTGTCTGTACTACAAAGACGCCTAAACAGAATAGCAAGCCAGAAGAAACACCAGTTAAGTCACATGCTTATTTTCATTATTTTCATATTGTCAAAACCCCAGACTTTCAATATAATTACTTGTATCTTTTCCAAATTGTTTAATGCCTGGCTGAAATGCATGGCTCTGAAAAAAAGCTGATTAAATGTAATGTTCCAAAATAATATTACTACAAATTCACTTGGTGGCACCAAAGCATTAACAACTAAACAACTGAAAGACTTGTCTGTGCTGAATCTGATGCTTTTATCTACTCTATATGATAAAGAGATGCATGTCTTTACAATGTCAATATTGTTAAATCTTACAAACACTTCCTCCGCAGGTGAATTGGACCAGACTGCCAGCAGCAGCCAGTTAAAGGACTGTTTTGATTTAGTTTTGTAATGTTTTCAAGTAAGAGTCTTCTCAACTACATCTTAACTTCACAGACAGGAGCTTTTCTTGGAGCTGAAATCTGTCTTGATGTTTTTAGTAGTTTCTAATCAATCAGTGAGTAAATCAGTATATTTTGTGAATATGACTAAAGATTATAAACAAACATATACACAGAGTGTGTATTAACCTGGTTTCTGGGCTGTGTGGGCTTTTCCATCTGTCGTCTTTGATGCTCCTTCCTGTTGGATCCAGCCCTTGCTTGTTTGGGTGGTGGAGCCTGTGGCTTTCCTTTGTCACGCATTCTGCAAAAGACACGTATTCACAATCTGTTGAGTCATAGTCAATTGTGTCATATGGGTTTTTCTAAGGATTACCCAATGTTTTCAAACTTTTTTTTTTAAATTGTTTTGGGTTTTATTAGACAGGAGCAGCTGAAGATAAACTGGAAAGGGCCACTGGTTGGAATCAAACTCACAGAGGATGCTGCCTTTGTACATTGAGCACACACTCAAAGTGACCAGCTACCAGGGCGCCCCCTTTTCATGTATATCTAACAGAGAAGCAGATTTTCTACTATGTTTTGCAACTGCTAATTTACCCATATAAGTTTGTGAATTCTCCAGTCAAGATGTATCTGCTTAAGCACTGAGTGACATACAGTGCATTGTAAAGGTAATAAAAACTGTACCTGATCTTAGGTCCACGATGGGAGGGCAAAGCTAGAACCGTCCTCCGTTTCTTTCCGTTCTCCAAATTTACATGCTCAACCTCAGGTCTGGTCTGGAAGCCAAAGTATTTGTTTTGCCTCTGGCTTTGAGGAGGAGCTGCTGAACACAGAAAAGTGGACAGAGAAAAACAAAAGGAGTTAAAAAAAAAAGAATAACAGCAAAAATAAAAAGGCCAAGTTTAGACTTTAATTTCATGTTATAACCAACGGCAATACAGTTTCTCAACAGCATTAGTGTGCTGTGCTGTATGTGTGCTTCATGTTTTTCATCACTTATAAGCCGATCTGCACCAACTAATGTTCTCTCAACTTGACAAAGACTGAAAGAACATAAATACAGAAATATTTTCACACCTCTCTCCTTTCCTGCCTGCTCTGCTGAGGACTGTGCTTTATTTCCACCTTTCCATGGTCCTTTTCCATGTTGGGCAGTCTGGGACTGAGGTTTCGCTCCTCCTTTAAAAGACTGATTTCTGGAAAACTCCTGCAAAAATATCAACCTAGGGTTACTTTCCATTTAGAATTAAAAAAACATTGTTTTAATTTAAAGGACCAGTGTGTAAGATTTAGTGGCATCTAGTGGTGTAACAATGCCTATGCCTCAAACTATTGTTCCAAGTATGAAGCATAAAGTATGGTGGCTGCGAAACCCACGATTAAGACGAAAGGCTCTATCTAGAGCCAGTGTTTGGTTTATCTGTTTCGGGCTACTGTAAAAATACGGCAGTTCAACACGGTGGCCTAACAGGAAGAGGACCTGCTCTCCCTGTAGATAAAACCAGCTCATTCTAAGGTAACGAAAACAAAGCAAATCTTATTTTCAAGTGATTACACACTAATAAAAACATACCTATGAATATTACATTCCATTTCTTCCAATAAATTCTCCGAAATGTTACACACTGGACCTTTAAAATGGGGGAACTAAGATGCAACTATCGCACAGATTGATAGAAACACACCTTATTTTTTTGTTGTCGCATTTCTTTTATTTTGAGTTTTCTTGAATCCTCCAGGGAGAACTCAACAATAGGTCTCTGCAGGAAGACATAAAATGCATAGTTAGTAGTAGTTCCACACAAACACTTGAGTGCTAGTGGACCAGTAAAAGAAATATATAAATATTTTTGATATAATCCAGTGTACCAAACCAAATAAACACCACAATGTTAAATTTTAAAGTTCTAAGGGTAAATAAATAAAATAGCAAGACAGAAAAAACACACTTATAACGAAGTACTCCATTGCAAAAATGTACCTTGTTTGAGCCAAAGATGTCGGGGTTGTTGTTAAGGTAACGAAGGGTGCTGAGAGCGTGTTCGTGTTCCTGGAACTGGACAAAGCCGTAACCTAACGATTGTCCCATAACCTGACCCTTCTCTGGCTTCCTGTCATACATCACCCGACACTGACAGGAGAAATTGGGAGTCACACACACAAACAGCATGAATAAGAATGACAACACCACCCTCTACTGGGCAGACAGGAATATTTTTTTTATTCTATGACAGCCTGCCATTGATAAATACTACTCACACCAAACTGTTTCCAAGAATGTTTTACAAAGCAGCCAATGAATTATAATGATTATGTTATATGATCCTGCCATATTTAAAAAAATTACTTGTTTCTCACCTCTGGGATCCTGATTCTCTTGTCCCCTTTTACTGCTTGGCAGCAGAGTTCTCTGAGTTGTTTATCTCCCACTGACTTGGGCAGGTTATGGACACACAGACGAGTCTTTGACACATACACACCTATGTCTCGTAGCTTGGCCCTCTTTACTTCTTCAAACTAAGGAAAATGGACGACACCAAATATACATGTCAACATTAAATGGTAAATGTAAGATCAACTATTATGCATTAAAAATGGTCCTCCAGGTAGAAACATCTAAAATGGTAAATGAAAAATGAACTCACTCTGGTTCTTTTGATCATGTCTGTTTCAGACACACCCTCTGCAGCCTTGGTTCCAGCACGGATCACTGAGTGTTGCAGTCAGAAGAGAATACATAAAGCATATGAACAGATTTAGAAGTAATTTTAATACTTTAATAGGGATGTCATAAGACAGACTTAGCTTTCTTTTGTAGTTGTTAACACACTAAATTATTCAAGGCATTATCTTGTTTACTGCCTCTTCATACAACTGCATCATGATAGAAGTCTCACTTTGAGATATGTTGGTTCATGGTATTCATGTGTAATTTTATGAGAATCAGAATTGGCAATTTACCTACTTGGCAATTTATTGCCAAGTAGGTTTCAGAAAGAATTAACCATGGTATATTGGTACATAACAATAAACACAGAACAAGAAAAATATAAATAAACAGGTAAACAAGTACTGCAAGTCTGGAAGCAGTACAGTTTGTGTAGGATGGGTAGGGGGTTAGGTTCCTTATAAATCTGCATGAAGCACTACCTTTAATATATTGACAGTGTATCAACTTTAAGGTTTAAGATAAGGAGCACTAGGAGAGCTGAGTAAGATAACAAATTGGTGGTAAAGAAGGAGAAAAGAATAGCATGAAATGGGTTTACTCACATCCCTCTCTGGCCAGGTAGAGGTTCCTGGTGCCCGTTTGTACTTTCACCTTGTCGACTTTCAGCTTGGCGGCATCTTCTCTGGTCACTGCTGCCGCAATCAACAGCTTTCTGCCATCGACACGAATCCCACCGCTCTGTGTCAAATAACCCAACATTGCAACAAGGTAGCAACATCAATCCATTGCACAACGCAGGACAACAGATAATGCCATCCCATTTAAAAGGTAGATATAGGTCATTAACTAATTAACTATAACCCTTATAGTTTATTATTCAGAAATGAATGCATATAAGATTGAATATTACCTCCGCCTCATCCTGTGCTACAGCGATGCATTTGTCTGCAGCTTCCTTAGTCTTAAACTGAGCAAATGCAACACCTGGCAAAATAAATAAAAATGTCAATCAACCCATATTCTCAAACAGAGAGAGGAGTTTTTCACTCAATCACAGCTTACTGACCTTTTGAATGTTCTGTGTCCGGGTGGATACAAATCTTTACGTAGTTAAGTTCGCCATACTGTAGGAGAACTTCCTCAAGACCCTCTTCATCTGTGTCAAAGGACAGGTTCCTAAATTTGACAGGGGTACGATGAACAAAGATGGTGTTAAGATTATGGTGTAGATTACTTGAGGATGGAGAAATAGGGGTTGCGCTAAGATAAATGAAGGCAGGTTTAAGATAAAGAAGTGAGAGGAACTGCAAACCTGATGAAAATTGTTCTGCCCTCTTTCACATCTGAAGGGAGAGGTTTCCTTGGGGCTTTCTTTCGAGCTAAAAGTAGAGATAAAATATTTAGTAGCAGACAAGCGGTGTCAAAAACAACATTTCTATGACAGAAAATATTTGCATTACAGGCAAAAATATGAAAAACCCAAGCAGAGAATTTATACCTGATTCATCCTCTTCGTCGTCCTCATCCTCCTCACTCTCATCTTCAGCATTTGAATCGAGGCTACTCTTATCATCATCGCGTTCATCTTCTCCCTCCTGAGACATATCCTCCTCCTCCTCTTCTTCTTCTTGATCATCATCATCATCATCATCATCATCATCATCACCCTCCTCCTCCTCCTCACTATCATCTTCATCATCTGATTCTTCCACCTGCTGTACAGCTGGTTTGGCAGTGACTCTGTGGACAGAAAAGTACAAAAGTAACCAGTAAGGTAACCAGTTTTTAAATCACCTAGTGGAATTTAAACAGACATGTTTGGAGTTCATACTTCTTCTTCTCGGGTGCTGCTTGCGTCTTTTCTTCATCCTCCTCATCAGTGTCGCTCTCTGTGTCTGACTGTTTTGCTGTTTCCTCCACGGTATTCTTAGTTCCTATTAGGTAAACAAAACAGTGTTAATGACTACCACCTTTAATGATTATTATTGTACATGGTATTATTATTATTATTATTATTATAATAATGACCTGCACTTGGGGATGGCTGTGTGGCAATGAACTGGTCCTTAGCCACAGCCCAGTCGACTGCTACCTGCCGTCCTGTGAATGAAACAATAATGTTTAAAAACACAGTCACGTGATAGAAATAAAAGATAATTTCCCAAAGTAAGAGGTCAACAACGAACAGAACCTATCACACAACAGCAATGTAAATGTCTCACTCACTGACCTTTTATCTCCTTCAGGTTCAGAGCATTAAGTGCTTTCGCTGCCTCAGACACATTTTTAAACATGACAAACGCAAATCCTCGCATCTTCCCATCTATACAGAGAACGAAAAAAATAAACATCATGAGAAAATAATGAATCAACTTACACAGCGGTCAGATAGCAATTCAATCTGGCTTATTTGCACTATCAACTTTTTTTTTTTTTTACCAGGTTTGAGGGGGATTTTGGCCTCAAGAACTGTTCCAAACTTGGCACAAACTTGCTTCAGGTCATCTTCGGAGCACTGTAACACAAGAAATGTCATGTGCTACAGGTCAAGCAACAAGCATACTACTTTAACAGTAAATATGTATCCAAAATGTATTTAATAACATACTGTACCTTAAAACTAAGGTTCCTTATGATGAGTCTGGCTTTCATTTGGACTTTCCTGAAGCCTTTGGGTTTCTTCTCACTCTCCTTTGGTGCTGCAGCTGGCTCTTTAGGTGCTGCAGCTGGCTCTTTAGGTGCTATGAAAGACATGAGGCAAGGTTATCAAGAAGACATGGTCCAAGAGCTAGTTTTAAAAACATGGCTTTATATCTACATACACACACACCTGTTTTCTTTTTGTCTTTTATTTTCTTCTTTGCCACTGACAGAGAAAGCTTCTTTCCGTCGTATTCTTTTATTTCTTTCATGGCTCGCTGTGCATCTTCCTCCATGGAGTATGTGACATAGCCAAATCCCCGACATGTCTCTGTTCCTGGTTTATAAATACGAATGTGTTATTCATGTTCACATTTATGTTTTATGACAATTAAGTAAAGTGTCTTAGTTCCAGTCTTATATTTGCTAAAAAAAATTTTTAAAAAACACACACACACACAGCAACCTCACCTTTCTCTCTGACCACGAAGCATTGCTTCACCGGACCAATTTCAGAGAATATTTCGGTTAAGCGTTCATTTGAAGCTGAAGCTGGTAGAGAACCAACGAATATGGTCTGCGCTGGCATGGCTGTGTGCTGCCCGGCTAACGCAACGTTAGTTCGCTAATATGAGCTCCTCGGCCTCGGTAACGACAGTCTAACTCACAAACGGGTGTCTATTGTTAACAGTTCAGCACTGGAAGTTATTGTCGAACCGCTAGATATCACACGAATGCGTGCTATAGAAGTATTAAAGTTTACCACCACTAGCTTTTTTAGATTAAGTCGCATGTTTACATCTGTGGGCCGCCATCTTGGAAAGTTAATGGAAATGGTTCTCAAGCGCACATGGAGAAAGCTGGTCCGTACCGCCGCCTAGCGTCCTGGAGGTTTACATGTTGTTTGTTTGAGATAGATAGATGTATAACAAACCACTTCAAGTTAGTTTTATTTATCTGTATATATACTGTTTATTTCTAATGGGAGAAAAAAAACTAAAAAAAAAATTCTTCTGTTTATGTAAATTTTAGTTGTTTGTATTTGGCAATGTTTCCCACTCTGTTTCCAATCCCAATAGAGCGAAGAATTTAATGAAATAGATGAGAAACAAGTAAAATTAAAAGGACAAATTATATTCAATAACTAAAGTGAGAGTCAAATATAAAAATATAGAAGATAATCGAATAAATAAAATGCAATAAATAAATGTACAAGTGCAGGTGAGCAGTCTGACCTTATCATGTGAGAAAGGGAAGTAAGGCTTTACTGTCAGAGGACTCAGACACACAGCGAACTGTTGAACAGGGTGATGGCACTCTTTATTTATTAGCTACAGACTCTGTTCTGCAGTTACCAACAATTTTTGGATGTGTCCTCTAATTTCCTCTTTAAAAGGAAGTAATCAGGCACACAAACACAATGCTTTAGATTGCCACTTTAGCACACACAACATACACCGATCAGCCAATATATGACCACCTGGGCACCCTGGTGGTCAAAATGTGATGCAGCCCCATACACGATAAACTGTGATGCTCTGTGTGTTCTGACACCTTTCTATCAGAACCAGCATGAACTGTTTCAGCAATTTCCTATAAACAAGTTAAAAAAAAAAAAAAAACCAACAGACCTCAAACACGATCTCTTTACATTTATTTGCAAACCACACACAAGGATAGAGACATGTAACATGTAAACAAAAAATGTTTTCATTATAATTGCACAAATCAAACCATTGTTCAAGTTATGAGACACAGAACTTACAGTATTAGAGGCACTATTTAGCAGACATTAACAGTTTTCAAGTTGAAGTCGTTACCCCCTTAATGTTTTGGTAGATTGTGAAAGCACCATTCATTTGTACAGATTTACCACTTCGGTTTATTATGCCATCCGTCTCAAGAATATTATCATATAGTGTTAGCACCATCTACAAACACCATCTACAAACACCAACATGGTGGAATTTCTAGTGGAAGAAGAAATATTCTTCTAAGCACTGGCAGACCCTCAAAAGAATCAATGGTCCCTCGAGATGTTTGAGATGAAATTATTTTGTCTCAGACATAATAGAAAATACTGCATTCAATGATAGACACTGGCTGGTTTCACAAGTAACATGTCAAATTTCATTGCCCTGTGTTCGCTGTCACAGTCAACTTATATATATATATATATATATATATATATATATAGACAGCAAATGTACAATATTTTATGAACATAATGTAATGTTAACTGTACTAAATAGAAATTAGAAGCAGCAAGATTTACATGTGGCGATTTGTGGCGCAATAAAAACCATGATAAAACACAGTTAATATTGGTAGAGCTAGTATCAACTAAATCTCTGCAACTGGCAAGAGATTTGGAATTGAACACCTTGGAGGTGTTTTCTTTTTCAAACTTGAAGCATCTGTATTCTCACTCCAAGATAACAAGGGGGGTGCATTTAGATATAAATTAGACAATGGGACTCTGTGTGTCCGAGCTCAGACAAATTGATTTCCAAGCTTACCAGGAACTCCAGTGTTATCTGTTTTACATATCTGTACCGAGTCATACAACTAGTATATATATATATCTGTGTGTGTATGTGCATGTGTGTGTGTGTGTTTAAGGGATAATGCAAAACGAGATGTCTATTACCAGGAACTAATGAGGCCAGAAATGTATATATGTGTGTGTGTGTGTGTTTGCATATCTGTAAAATGCAAATGAACAACAGTATTCAACACATTTGCTTTGGAAACTGTGGTCTGGGGCCAGCTACAGTGTTTGGAGAATGTAGTCCAACCGAGATCAGACATGTGTTCTTTTAATGTTTAAATTACATAATTAAATAAATAGATTTTCCCAAAACAAGCATTTTAGTTTAAACACAGAAAACAAGAAAAGTCAAGCTAACATGTCACTATGTTTTAATAAAACCATCTCACATCTTGGCCTTCAGTGGGACGATGCTGAGTGAGTGTAAGAACATGTCTAGGGTGGTCAGATAGTCTTGTCGGTGCCTCTTTAGGTGACCTGCGTGTGTTGATTCCTCCCACTTCTTCGCTGTGACGTCCATTCCGCGCTTCCGCCATAGATCAATCACTTCCTCCATAGCTCGTGGGTCGCTCATTGCATCGTTCTCACAAAAAAAGAACAGTGCAGGAGCGGTGACGGGAGTGTTCCAAAACACCTCAATGCCCTTGTTGAAGTAGTCCACCGTTTGGCGTCTGAATATTCCAAAGTACAACAGGCTTATTTGTTTTACCAGTGTCTCCCAACGTGGAAATACAGTCTTACCAAGACCTGGGCATAAAGGAGAAAACTTCATTATTTTGCACTTTAAAGCATTGTCTCCTATTCATACATGGATCATTTCATGGATAAATATACATATTTGGATTGTGCATTAATGGATACTAATGAAATTATTTAATGACTGTGTTATGTTAATACTGAACTGACCTATGGCCATGTTCTCCAAAGAGCCCACCACCAAGCTATCGAAGACTTGGCCTTTGATCCTCTGTATGAGCGCCTGATATTTCTGCGTGTCCTGAGACACATGTACCAGCAGCTGAGAAAATGTGTAGCCACCGATAGAGAAGGCATGGACGAGCAGTGGGCGAGAGACAAAACGTTTGCTCTGGAGCAACTCCAGCAACCTCTTTCCATGTTCCATACCCCAGCGAGGCCACAGGAACTCTTGGACCTTGTGTAAAACAAACAGTACAAACAACATTTGAGAATCACTTTTTGACACTAGGAAGTTTAGGAATGTGTAGAGCACAGTATATCTATTGCTAAAATAAATAAAGAAGTAGTAGGAGAATATCTGGTAATACATATTATTATTAATAGGTAAAGACCTTGGCTAACAAACTAATATTCAACCTGGATTTTGATGCTCTTCTCCTGACTTTGATATCAACTGTATGAATGAGGAGAAGAAAAAAAGTGTGTCCAACATCTCCTTCAGGCTCGACAGGAGAGAAACTCTGGGTTTAATAAGAAAACCTGCCAGAGAACAAGGCTACAGCGTTAACAGTTAGTGGAATTGCCAACAATAGCTGCTATTAAAGCTGCAGTTCTAACTCCTCCTCAGGCTTGTCCTCAACTGCCTTACAACTTCAACAACAAATAATCCTTTATATGAACCTTTGTACCACTGATGGTTACACTGTACGTCTTATCTGTTCTTGTGTGTGTGTGTGTGTGGGCTGTGTCAGGGCAGATGTCTGTTGTGGTGAGTGGGATACGGGTGATGTCTAAACATGAGTGTGAAAAGTTGTGACAAAAGAAAAGTCGTTTCTACATGCATGGATGATATACATTTCTATTCTACATACATGTATGTATACACTATATTAGCAAAATAATATACAAATGATATGTACTTTTCCTACATCTAAGAATACACTTAGTGAAAGAGCAGCCACAGCTATGTTGTTAAAGGTCCAGTGTGTAACATTTAGAAGGATCTATTGGCAGTAATGGAATATAATATTTATAGGTATGTCTTCATTAATGTACAATCACCTGAATATACAAATCCTTGTGTTTTTGTTACCTGAGCTGTTTTTATCTACGTAAGCCAAAGGTCCCCTTCCATGGACTCCACCATTGTTAATCATCTCTGCAGTAGCCCAGAACAGATAAACCAATAACAGGCTGTAGAAAGGGCCTTTCAGACCACTGTAGTTTATCCTACACCAGTGATTCCCAACCTTTTTTCTTAAGGGACCCCTTTTCTGTCATTGAGTAAACTGACGACCCCAGACTGAGTGACATATTTTGTGGATAGTTCACATTATATTAAAAAAACTATACAATTAACATTCTGAGCAGATTAATTCCGGTCCCCATTGTTCTATTGATCTATTTAACTTCTAATGCAGGATGAGGCTGTTTATCAGAGAGTGAAAGCTCTGTGAATACAGCTTGTGTTCAGGTCTTCAAAGATTATATAAACTTAAATAATAATCTGAACTTTTTTTTTCTTACTTTACATTCATTTTTAAAATGAAATGAACCAAATGCTGAGATATAGACCTACTGTGTGTATTTTTTTGTAAGTCAAGTCCAAGCAACCCCTCATGTAGCTTTGGTGGCAACAGTGGCCCATAGAGACTTCTGCCAGCCGAACCGGCTAACTTCTGGTTTAGCCCTCCAATCGATTGAAATCTTCTTCACTTTAAAAATGTTATCGGACGAAATGGATCTGATTCTGAATGTGAAACAAGTCATTTCCCCAAGTTTGTGACACCGTTTTACAGCCACTTCTTTCAAAATGTAATCTTATGGGTAAAATGTTTTGGCCCAGTGTGCATCATGTGATGGACGTCATTGCTGTAATCAGACAATGTGAAACTGGCTTTAAAGGAACCACTGTTTTACACACTTCACAGCCTGTTCTCATTCCCAGGTCATCAAATCTGCACAATCTACCCACTAGATGCAACTAAATCCTACACACTGGTCTAAATCATAACAAAACAAGTTTTAAGTATGTTTAATTTGAACATATAACAGTTCTATGTGGTAGATAAAACAAAACACTGACTATAATCAATATCAACTTTAATGTGTACTTTGCAAATATCGGGGTCACAGATGTATATTTCCCTTACCTCACTCTCTACTACAAGCACGTCAAAGCCAGTGCGGAAGTAGATTTCACAATACTTGGCCAGAGCTTGGGGTCGGGAACCAAGCCATGGCAGCATCAGCAAAAGAGGTTTCTGTTCCTCGGAGACTGGGGGCTGACATCCCGAGGCTGGAGATGCTACTTCATTAACGTAGAAAGTGACATTCTTGCTGAGGCGGTGGGCAGTAACGCCTCTGCTCACGACTGTCCTGCCCAACATAGGAGCTGCTTTCAGGCTTTCCAGTGAGGAGATTCGCTACAGAGGAGTAGCAAACAAGGAGACACAAATAGACAAAATGACAACGAGAAATTAGCGAGCAACATTACCAAACTTTCCCTCTCAAACCATTTTAACCTAACAATCCCAAACGCTGCGTATTCCTTACTGTTTCAGGGCTAACCAGAGAGTTAAAGTTAACCCTACCGTTGCATTAAACTCATCACCTAACGCTAAGCTAACACTACCCAAGTTAACGCTATAGCGTTAGCAGTGTGTTAAAAACACCAACTCAAGTTATCGATAAGTATAAACCTGACGTTAAACATGCACATATTGCCACAATTAAATAAATTATCTGTTGGTTAATCTTAACTTGACTCAATTTGTGTTACTAAGAATGGTCACATTGCTCTCTGAGATAACGTTACGCCTTAGCTGAGTTACGTAAAGTTACGGCCACCGTTTGTAGCGGTATTTCCCTCACTGTGTTCTGGATGAGTTAGCGATACTAACCTTCTTTCAACCGTGTGCCAGTGATGCTTTAATGAACAAGGGGGGCTTTTCCGACGCACATTGTTGCCAGCCGTGTAACGTTAAAGGTTAACTCGCTACAAATCGTATGTCAACAAAGTCAGTCTCTTTCCGATATCGAGGCGAATATCGACCTTGTTTCTTCTCCTCCCTCTTCATCTAACCAGTGTGCTTTCTTCAGCTGGCTGTAAGTCGCATCTCAGACGGAACTGCTGCCCTCCGTCGGAAAGAGAAACTCCTCCGCCATCCAACTGTACTAAAACAATACCAGTCTAACCAGTTTAACCAGTAATATAAGCGATGACACATTTATTACTGTACATACAGTGGTAGGGACAAGTTCCCTCTCGGCTCCTTCACACAATGCGGTGAATTAAGCTTTTATATTTGTGTGGCCACATTCATCATTCAACATTTTTCTCAAGTGGATAAAATATAATCATAACAAAAACTTTTTTTTAAAGAATCTTTATTGAGTTATTGAGACAGGTTAAAACAGAAGAGCCCATACAAACATAAAATACTGTACACAGACCAGTGGCCTGAAAGAGCTGAATGGTAAAGTGCCTTTATAGATTCAAGCTTATTAAATGTTAAATATGTACCAATGGAGGGTCAGACCCAGTCCAAAGGTCAGTCAGTAAGTGTCACTGTCAATAACAGTTTGGTTTATAGTCATGGTGCATCTGGTTTTCCACAGTTTGTCACATACAAAGCTGATTATTTGTGTGACATTAGCTTTTTTTGACCAGTATTCACCTTTTCACTCCCTTTATATTATATGCAAAGACATACACATGTAGTTACATCTATCTAATCCACGCCACCGGGCCCACGGCTTGTTTTTTATCCTCTTAACTTGTGCGCAGCTTTGTTTCTCTATCTTGTCCTGACTGTCCACATTCCCAGCTGGACCCCCAGTCCCTGCTGACTTTGTCTTGTTTGTAGGATGACTTGTCTAAACAGAAACCAGTTGCCCACTGAATTAGGATAGCAAGTGTGAGGCGGCAATAATTTGGCCATGTCCCTCACTGAGCTCATATGTTTGGCCTGTCATTGTTCCTTTCCAGTCCCTTTAGTTACGGCTGGATTGGTGCTTTCCTGTGTCCTCATCAGACAGCGGGTTAACCACACCCCTCGGGAAGTTCCTATCCTCACCACTGACTGATCTGAAATAGCCATCGCTTTGTTTATGTCAGTCTGAATGCAAAGGTGTTTTTGTTATCCTGCAAGGAGAAGTTTGTGCAGAGGCATGATTAGGAGGTAGCTGGTAAACTGTGCTCCTAATTACTGGCTGTGGTATGTGCTGTCTTTGTTTTGTGCTAAATATGTGGTTGGCAGATTTGTTTGGCATTCAGTTTGAGCCGTATTTATCAATAGTTTTTCTTTTTTTGGATGGAAGAAGAATTGCGTGCACTTGGCAGAATGCCCACGGAGCTTTAATCCTGGCTTGAAAAATCCTTTGCGCTGCTAATTTAGCAATGCTTAGTGGAGATTGTAAAACACAACTTTATATATCTTTACATCACCCAGACAGAGGCAGCACATTAGTGTGACTCTGCTTTAAACTCTCTGGCTCTGTGCATCCAAAGGTATGTGGATCAGTGTCTATTTTAGAACCATCCCTGGGAATTGAATTAGGCCACGAGGTTACTGGATTTCCCCCATTGGGTAAAAACAGCACACGTGAACCAGTCTGATCGTAAGGAGGAAAAGAAAGAAAGCAAGTAATGTGGCACCATCACACAGAGATCATTCATGTGAGAGGTGCTTGCCACAATAAATGACATGGCAATAAGGTCATAAGTGGTGATTTCAGACTTAAATTAAGCAGTTCTTTGTTAAAAAATAAGTGCATCCGTTTGATTCAGAGGTACTGTTTGTACATACCCACAAGAACCACTTATATACATTATGCATGTATGCTATTCAAAGAGAATCTTCTGCTTCATACGCTGTTCATGACATGACACACTGTGCTGTTCGTGTGATGGCTGCTTTAAAAGGAAGGGCACAGCATTAGTTGTAAATTACGCTCAATAGCATGTATTGATCTGTAGCACTAGTTAGTTTAGTGCAGTGCAGGGTTACTGCCTGTTTGTTGGTTGATGAGTGTGCTTTGGCCCTTTTGACATAATTAATTTTTACTTTACTTTATACATCCCTTCTACACTCACAATAAACATCAGATATCATAATCCAGAGTGATGTGTGTCAGTGTATGTGTGGAACAGAAACAGCAGTAAGGTTCCTATGCTGCTATAAAAAAGAGATGATTCTGAGTGCGGTGTGGATGGTGCCTCTGATTTAGGAGAATGGGATCGCGCACACAGTCAAACTCACTGTCAGATCAGTGCAGCGACAGAGTGTGGGACAGTGGGGGTTGTCTCGAAGAGGTGGGGTCTGTCCCATGTGTCGACTGTCTGATGGAGAGAAGAGGGGCACAGCACAGTGAGTATGAAAGGACACAGAGTGCGATGCAGAGAGAGAGACTGCAGGCATGCAGCGACACAGAGCAGCATATATGGTATGTTTAAAGAGGCTGCAGCAGAATGGGCTATTAATGAGGTAAGAAAGCTGAAACGAGACCAGCTACCTAATGTCTCTTCACGTGCTGTTATGAGTGATAATCTTGTTTGTACTGTGTGTATGTTCCAGGACTTTATAGGAGAACAGGTTTTAAAGATAGTGTTTTCATATACCTCATTGGAGAGTTTTTTTTATATTCAGTATTTTAGTACTCACCCCACGTGCAGAGATTCAAGCTATTTACATGCGAATATCCTCGCAATCCACAGTATTGGATGAGTGGTTACACTGATTGTGTCTTAAATGTGATTTTTCTTTCTTTCTTTCTTTCTTTCTTTCTTTCTTTCTTTCTTTCTTTCTTCAGGTGTGTTAAGCATGAGATCCCCCGAGACCTGAGGTTAGAGATCTGTAAAACATGTGATTGGACAATATCCCTCAAAAACCAACAGCATGTGACTTTATTGTGGAGTCTGTAGACCCTCACCATGCTCTCTCTGTGGAATCTTTATCTTCTTCTCCCCCTCTCCTATCCTCTCTCACTTGATGTCATAGCCTTTGCCGGAGAAAATGTCAAGGAAACACAACAGCCAGACATTGACACAGCAGCCCAGCACGTCACGCAGCCCTCACAGAGACCTCATGGATCTGGTTTAGCACCGGGGAGTCCCATGTTTCGAACTGAGAATGTTAACTTCCTACCTTTACGTTGGCACTTACCATCATCTGAGGAATCAGATAGCCAAGGTGTGATTGGTGAATACACTGATTTACAGGAGAGCACAGAGACATCTTTCTTGTATCCTAATGAGAAGGGACTTATCATATCTAGACCCACAGATAGTGCTACAGAAGATGCCACCTCCAAGGAAATTCTACAACCAGTAAGGTCTTCATCAAGAGGAGTACCACCTACCCAGGAACAACAAACAGTAAAGTATCAGCCAGCTGAGACCAATACTGGATCTTTATTGCATTCTACACAGACTGGAGAGAATCAGCCATCTTTCCCAGCCTTGCAGAATAAGATAACTGATAGCCAGTCACCTTTTCTTCTGTCTGGTTCACTTCCATCTTCATCTCATTCTGCTGGACCTGGGCCCAGCCCTGAGCCCCCCACTCCACCAGTACCAACTAGCAGCCCGGGATGGACCTCTGGTCCTTCTGTTGTCACACAGGGAAAGACACAGGAGGGGACTTTCCCAGTGAAGGAGTATGGAGCTGGATTGATTGATATTACAGATCCAGTTTTACACAAAGGAGCTGTCAGCATGGATGAAGATAAAGGTAAGAGTCCTTGCTTGAATGAAATTTTATGTATTTGGAGCATCCATCATCTACTAAACCTGACACTAATCACAGTTAACATCTTGTCCCTTATAGCTCTAGTGAATCGTATGATTTATATTGTTGCTCTCGTTAAATACATAAAATAAAAGACTCCAAGACTATGTGTGACTGCAGTGTCTGTGATATGTATTCTGCTCGCAGACACAGTTGTTTTACATTCACAGAATGGTTTGCATCACTTCACTCCCCCAAGCTTTCACTCTCCTCAAAAATCTCTCCCTAACTCTTCCCCTACACTCTCTCCCCTCTCTTGCTGTCTCAATCCTTTCATCACAAATTCTCCACTCATTCCTCCACTATCATGTTACTGTAGAAACAGTTCATAACCATTGCAGTCAGTGTCCATTACCCACATCCAAAGGTTACTGGATAATGTGGTGCACACCTGCACAGTATTTGCTGTACACAAATACACGATGGCACTCACTTGTCACTCACTTGTTGTGTCCACAATCATAGGAGGAGAAGGGCTTTGACAGGACTGTGCGAGCAATGACCCTTCCTCAAGCTGCCTATGCATTTATAGCGGACACAATTTCCATCCTTAACATCCACTTTGTTGAGTAACTGTATCATATATTACCAAAATGCATTGGTATTTGTGTCACAGTGGCACAGTCAATAAAACACAGTGAAAATCCTGTGTTTAAAAGGTCTCTCGCCGCTTGTTTGCTGCTTCTGCATTGACAAAATCACTTCACCACTAATGGAGGACCAGAAATAGGACACATTCCATTTATAACCACCTGGTTCCCTGTTTCTGGTGGCTCCATACAGCTTACTCTGAACCCTATTTCACTAGAGAATGAGATGCTTACATTATTTACTGGTTACACGGTCACATTCAGATACAAAAGTTGTGTGGATTCCTGTTGAAAGGATGCATTAACATTAATGATAGATAACACCTCTTGATCATACTTAATAATAGCCACACAAAATGAGAGCAGCAAGGTCAATACTGGCTAATCAACGCACATCTCTTTCTCTCATACAGGAACACATACACACACACTGCTTACTTGCTTGCTTGCTCATGCTCTAGCTCTCTCTCTGTGACCCAGTTAGACATTCCCAGTTACAAGCCTGCTCTGTTATATTATGGATTAACTTCACACATGGCAAATTCTCCCCGGCTCTCTTTTGAAAAGACTGTGAACATAATTTACTCTGTTCTGCGTTCATTGGTTATTATGTTGGGTTCATGTGCATATTAATGTCAGCATTATTAAAACTGACAATAGGTCAAGACCGAATATACAATACCAAGAGTTCAGAGACACGCTAGCAGCAAAATCATGCTGTATTCTGGGCACCACAGTGCTTTGTGCTGAATGCTAACATCTTCGTGCTAACTTGCTCATGATGACAAGACTAATATGCTAATGTTCCACAAGTAATGTTTAGCATACTTAAAATTGTATCTGTATTTAAACGCTCTACCTTTTGGTTCTGTGTTGACGACAACTTATACATTGGTAATGTTTGATGTTATTGTGCATGCTTTACAGATGACTCCAAGGATGATGACCTGCATGTCTCAAAGACCAGTGGCACACTTGATGGTAACAGGGACACACCTACCACACCCTGCAAAACATCAAACCAGTCCTGGACTCCCACCTACTCAGATGATTTTACTCCCAATGAGTTTGTGCACCCCTCTCTAGCTGTCAGCCCTGCCCTTTTTGTTCCTCTGTATTCAGACTGGAACTCTGCCCTCGCCACATGGGGATTTGCGTGGGAAGCACACATCTATGGCCTGGGGTCTGTCTTCACTGTATTTGGTCTTATCTCTGTGGTCTGCCTGTTGGGCCTGCCCCTGCGATGTCCCCCAGGAATCCCCTACCTCACCCTGTTGCACTTGTTCCTCCTAGCTTTTGCAGGAATCCAAGCTTTCCGTTTGCTCTATGATGCTTACAATCACCAAGATCGTCTTCCCCCTCTGGGCTCTCTGCTGCTCTCTGAGCTCCCCTTCCCCTGTTTGATCTCAGCCTTCTCCCTGGCCATCCTCCTTCTTTCCATGCGATCACGCATGCGTCTTTCTCTTCCACTTGCTAATTCCAAGTCATTGTCAGTCTTGCCAAAGCCTTGCTTGTTACTGTGTATGTCCCTGTTGCATTCTGTTGTCTCTCTAGGGTGTGTTGGCATGCTCCAGCTCTTCCACAGCCTCCCCACCGTGATCCTGCTATTCCCTCAGGGTGTTTTTGTATGTCTCACCATCTTTCTCTCATGCTCCTACCTCATCTTCTACTGCTTAATACAAGTCAACACTAAACACATCTACCAGCTCAATGACAATGGAGAGAGTGGCGGATCTCCTGAAGTGATTCGATCTGCAAGTTGCCCCTTTGCTAAAATGGAGGACTGGGATAGGGCAGCAGGAGCTGGAGTAGGGGCTTCGTTGTGTTTGTTAGGTTGTGGAGGCCTCCAGCTTTATGGGATCCTGCATGCTCTTGGTTTGGGTGGGGTTGAAGGCTATGGTTTCCAGCCATGGCCCTGGTGGGGCTACCAGGTAGGCTGCAGGCTCTGTGAGGTTGGGGTGTGTCTAGGTTTGTCTCTCATTGGTACACACCCTCTGTTCTGTCACAACAACTCCTCTATCAAGACCATAACTCAACCACGGCCAGGGTCTTGGTCGCGCCTCTCCTGCAGCTCCCCTTCACGAGGGCTCACCCTGCCCTCTCAGGGAGGTGCAAATTCTCCTGTCCTCTCCTCTCACGATTCGTGGTCCCAGGGTAAGCAGGAAAAGCTGGTGGTCTGTGATGTCACCACTAAGGGACAGTCAGAGGCTCTTCCTCTATTCTCAATTGTGGATCCTCCTGGAAATGGGCTAGACTGTGTCCCCAAGTCCAGCCAAACCCGGAACACTGTACTGCCTCTACCTACACCCCCAAGCCCACCGCACAAGCCTAAAAATGCAGTTGAGTCTCAGCTATCATCACTGGATAGCCTACGATTGGAGAGCGACTCTACTGTGGACCTGCGCCCCCCATCTCCCATAAACTTGTCCCGCAGCATTGACCAAGCTCTTTTCAGTGAATCCCTATTCTCTCAGAGTATCTTTGGTTTGCCAAGACTAAATCATGCTTCTTCCAGCCTCTCTTTGAGCTCTCCTAGCCAAGGTATGTCTAAGCAAGGGCCTAGCTCTGTGGAAAATGCCCTATACCGGACATCTTCCTGTGGAAATGTGGATCAAGAGAACATCCTGTCCAGTTCAAGACCTTCTCAGCCACATGGCTCTTCTCACAGCAAGTCACCAACGTCACCAGAGCAATGGGATTGGAAAGGGAGTGTCTCTGACTCAACCCAGGTTCTGTGCAACAATCCCAAGGAGACAGGAAAACTGCGCTCACATTCCTGGGCCAACAGAGGTCAAAACTTTACTCCGAGCAGCCTCCCACGAGCGATCCCCCACTTGTCATACCACAGGCGTTACCGGACCCTGAGCTTAGCTTCCCAGGACAGTCATGGAGCTGGCCGACTGGCAGGGACTAAACACCTGAGCGAAAGCAAACAGCTGGAATGGGATCTCGCTGTACAGGCAGAGTTTGTGAATGTGTGCAAACAAATTGATGCTCTGAGTGTTTGCAGTGACACCATTGAATTGTAGTAACTTATAAAAGTCACGTTATGTTTGGAATGTAGCAGATTAGGTTAGATGGAGGAATTGAATTGTACATCATAAAAGTTACATAGATTAAACTAATTACCTGAATAAATGAAAGGAGAAGTGACATTATTGATATAATATGTAGACACAATTTATTTTATACTGTAAAACTGTACTGTTGATATTGAAAACTGGCTGACTGCAGCACACTGTTTTCCAAAACTTTCATTAAACTCTTCTCTTTGAAGTAATGTTTTTTTTAAATATTGTGGCAGTATTGTGATTTAAATACTAATTCCAGATAGACATTCAGGAATGTCAAGGATCAAATAAAGAAAAATAACCATAAATAAATAAATGGATAGTGTAATATCTATTAGGAAGTTAACTTAAGTGGGGATTTTAATATTTGTATAACTGACATGTTGAGCTTTGTTATATTTGAAGCTGTCCTGCAGAAAGAATATGAAGAAGAACCTTCTTCATTAGTGGTTTTACAGTGTTGATTTACTGTTGGGGTTTCAATTTGGCAAAAAGTGAGATAACACCCTTTCACCTCTTCCCTGATGTGATTGTACGGAAACAATTGAATCTACAGTGGTAAACAATATGAGGAGAGCTAAAAAAAAAATCTAGAGGGAGCTGAAAATTACTAATATTTTGCTAATCAGCACCTTGCTGGCCATTAAGTTGTGAACAGTGGGGGGAACAGTATTTTGTTAAGTAGTACTTTCCTCACAGGATTATCATATGTTATTTCAGTGTGGTGTAATAAACATGGAAATTCAAGCAAAAATCCTATATACACAGGAGGATTTGTCTTCCATGTTTTTGTATTGCCTGCTTAGCCAACCATTTGAGTGGTGTCTTTGAAACTTTTGGTACAGTCTAAATTGTAATTGTAATGTGTTAAACTGGCATTGTGTATTGCTCATGTTAGAATTTCTGGGCAGACTTCAAGATATTTCTGAAGGGTAACAAATGAACATGGTTGTTAGATTTTTAATATATTGCCCTCTAGTGGTAATGAGAAAAACCATCATGCTGGTCAACACTTTTTGCTTCATGTATTTCTGGAGATGTGACAAAAATGTTTAAACAATATCAAAATACCCTCGTCAAAAAATCTTTATTCAACACTATTTACAGTAAATATAATTTTGAAGCCTTAGGGTGGGTGATGGAAGAAGAATATATTTTCTGTAAGTTATTGCAAAATTCAGATCAAGAGTTAATCATAAAGTGTCATATGTAATACCAACGACATTGAATACCTCCCAGAAAAATAAACAATCACATTGAAAACTGATAAATCAACTTGTCTACAATTCTATAAAGAAATAAATCTTACTTGGGCAATTGTTTATACCCTACTCCACTGACTTCATAGCTCTATTTCATTGACTCTCTGTTTGCTAAAATGCTGAGCCTGAAAAACAAATGACAAATAACTACTACTTTATTGTGTATTATGTACAGTTAATAGTCATGTAATTAATCATGGGCTTTTTGCTAAATGAAATTATGGAAGATCACAATATGTCAAGCCAATGTGACTCAGACTCATTTGTATTATATAAACATGATGTATGAATTTATAATCAGATAACTGAAATGTAAAGCATGGGTAGCCTCCTGTCTTGTCAATATAGTATTTTCTATGCCAAATAAGATGAACACAGTAAGATTACACATGATAGCTCCTTTAAGGCGCTCCTTGTTACAGATATGTAAATTAAGGCTGATGCTAAGCTTTGGTCCCTTCTGCAGCAGTGTAGCACATTCAAAGAGATCACCGACTGGGTGTGAGAATACATGCAGGGTGATCAGGGCAGAGCATCCACCATGTACCAGCCAAATGTTCACCTGTCAGAGAAATTACTTTGACTACTACTACTTTGATAACCGGTGCAGTATGTAGATAATGAGATGTTAATTGTATTATATGTACTATACTGTATGTTTCCCCCTGGCTCTGTAAGCGTTGTACACAAGGTCGCAGGCTTGAAAATTGACCATAGATATAATTCAATATTATTTTACACTTCTGGAGTCTGCTTTCATTATCATCAGAGAGCTTGTATTACAGCTATTGTAACGTTTTCAATTAAATAAAATGTTAAACATTCAAAACATTATGCCAAAACATGCTGCTTTCTTTTCTTTCTTTTTTACCTGTCTTATTCTATAAATAAAAATCTAATTTCCTGCAAAAAGAAGAATCTTGTGTGATATATTAAATGAGCATGGAAATACCAGGTTTGTTGTGTATCGGGGTGCAACAGAGGCCAACAAGGAGATAGACGTCATTAGATCAACAATAATAAGCTTGTCCTAAATTAGTTAATTGCACGTTATCTTGTTAAAAGGGATCAGCAGTATAGTTAAAGGACCAGTGTGTAGTATTTAGTGGCATCTAAGTGGCCAACTCCCATTACAAGTGGAGAAACTACATTCGCCACAGAACTGATGAAAAACACGAAAGGCCCTAGAGCCAGAGTTTTGTTTGTTCGTTCTGTGCTACTTTAGAAATAATAGAAGAGCAGTAGAAGAGGACCCGCTCCCTCTGTAGATAAAAACAGCTCATTTTAAAATTAAGAATAAAAAAATGAAAATAGACCTGTAAATATTCAATTTCTGCCAACAGATCCTCCTAAATGTTACACACTGCACCCTTAATTACATTACCCCCACTACACCTTGGCAACAGAGGGATAAAGACAGATAAAGAGCTCATGTAATGGACATGAACCCTCTGACTCGCTTTTGAACTTTAGACCCATGTAACTACAATGTGCTGTTTCAGCTATCTTTGAAGGGGTCAGAGATCAGCCAGACAAGAACAAGAGAGGGTGTGGATGTTGTGCAACGACAACAGCATTGTGTTTGTGGTTTGATCACATGCGCCCGGTGCATCTGCTCATAGCTGCTGGGGTCGGGACGCTAGGTCCTGATCGAGTGTTTCCTCTTCCACCCCCCTCAGTAAAGCCGCTTTTCATAACTACACATGGGAAAGAAAAGGAAGACTATAAGCGTTTTCTGTGTTGTGAAAATAAAAGCAATCTTGGATGGAGATGACTGAATGAAAGAAGAAGTTGGAGGTGTGATAACCACATGGATATACTTACATGGCACAAAAGAATATCTAATGTGATAGCATGGGTAAGAAAAGAGGAAGAGAGAAGACAATTTTGATCCTGCTAGCAACAGGTAAATTACATTCCATTTGACAGTAAAAGGTTTCTGACAAAGGGACTGAATCAAAGTGAAGCTTAGACACACACTGTTAGTGCCTTTGCCTTTAAAAGTAAATGTCACATACTGAGAGAGGAAACTAGTGCCACCAAAATATTTAGACAGTAGAGGAACACAAGTACAAACAGGACACAAAGGAGGTGCAGAGGAGGGGGAAAGGTCATAAACCCAGACTTACGAGTGCAAGCCGTGGACTCCTCCTTCCATCTGAGCAGACATGGTTCTCTTCTCAAACTTCAGCTCTCCAGAATACATCATTGACCTGGTACACAGACACACAGCTCATGCTAGCCAAAACTTCTTACACAATATAAACCGTAACATACACACACGATTCCACACTTACCGTAAAATGGACAAACTCTTAGCTCCTATGTCTTGACAGCCGTGTTGGATGCCAGCGATGAGGTAAGGAACAAACTTATGGATGGAGCCTTTATCTTGCACTGATCCTGAGACACCTTGAGCCACCTTCACTTTATCTCCCTCACTGGACACACAAACCCAATTCACACAGAGTAAGCAATAAATGTGCCACTATAACATCCTATAACTGTACATTTTTCTAGAATAAGTTATCTGTAACCCCACTCTCCCACCTGAAGTAGCGTTTCTGACTGTTATTTTTCTCCATTGCATCCAAGGAGCCCATTCCTCTGTACTTTTTCAGACGCACACCATCTGAAAAGAAATATTCTCCTGGAGCTTCAGTGGTTGCCGCGAGCAGTGACCCCATCATCACTAAGAAATGTGAGAGGACATAAAATGGGATCACGTGATGCTGAATGCAAAGGGCAACAGGCAAGGGCAGAAATACAAAAAATAAGACAGAAGCAGCAAAAACCACAACTTTTATTTTGTAAAAGTAGTACAGTACTAGTGAGATTACTAGAAGAAAGTGTCGACCGAATGATCCAAATGTGAATCATAAAAATGTAAGACTGGGAGGAAAAAAGACAATATTGCATTTTTGTACCTGTAGATGCTCCCAAGGCCAGTGCCTTCACCACATGTCCAACAGTCTGAATGCCTCCATCAGCGATTACTGGCACTCCAAAACGCCGAGCATACTCTGCAACTTTGTACACTGATGTACCTTGGGGCCGTCCACAAGCCATCACTGAGGAACAATAATACAAATAATATGCTATGTTGGCAGCAAAATATCCCCAATAATACAACTGAAATGAATAGATTATTACGATCCCAGCTTTAGATTAGTCTCTTTTTCTAACTAATCACTAAGAGGCAGTTTTTCTGACTTTGTTTTATCTTAAACCAGCTGGTATTCACAGTACTGCACATTTCATCATACCTTCCTGGGTGATACAGATGGAGCCACATCCCATGCCCACCCTCAGTGCATCCACACCGGCATCTATGAGGTTTTTAGCCTGAGCAGCTGTCACCACTAGAGAGAGACAAACGCACAGAAAAGAGCTCAGTGTGGGGGACATACACAATAGGTTATAGGAAGTATTCATAGAACAAATGCAAAAGAAAGCTCAGAGACGAGAGGAGAGCTTACCATTTCCTCCAACTACCTGTAGTTCAGGATATTTCTGTTTGATGTAGTTTATCATGTTGATCTGATACACTGAGTTTCCCTGGGAGGAATCCTGAAGGAAAAGAAAATTTCAGTTTAATTTAAAGCAATAAAAACATAACTTAGAACAGTTCCAATTTATCCAAATAATAAGTCACTGCATCCATCCTACGTGTATCAAGAGGCTGATAATTCAAATCTATCTAATCTAACCAAAGGCTGAATCAAACCACAGTCATAGCCTACCAGGACGACCACATCCACCCCAGCCTGCATGAGGAGGTCCAGTCTGTATTTGTCATCGTCCCTCGTACCAATAGCAGCTCCACACAGCAACTGTTTGCGGGAGTCCTTGGAAGCCAGAGGATAATCTCTGTTCTTCTTCAAATCAGTCCGAGCAATGATGGCAACCAGCTCATCACTGTCATTCACTATGGGGAGCTTCCCTAGGAGAGTCAGAGTGTGAAATGAGGAAAATAAGGAAGAAAAGTTGATCTGAGTCGGAGAGCTGGTTCCTTTTTCCCTACAGTAGAATGACATATGGTATACTTTACACATTTACCTTTTTTGCTACGTTGTAGTATATCATTAGCCTCTTTTAGTGTGACTCCAGCAGGTGCAACCACTAAATCTTCCCTTTTTGTCATTGCCTGAACAGAAAAGAGGTTAAAGTGATTCAAACAGTGTGGATACATATCAATATACCACCCATTTATTTATTTTTTTTCATTCACATAAACACATCAATTATGCACCCACCTCCTCTAGGGGTCTGTCATGGTCCTTCTCAGACAGAAAGTCTATGTCTCTGGAGGTGACTATGCCAACCAGCTTGCTGCCCATCTTGCCGGTCTCTGTAACAGGGATCCCAGAGAACCCATGGCATATCTTTGCCTCAAAAACGTCCCCCACTGTGTGTCGGGGACTCATTACCACTGGGTCTGTAATGAAGCCTTGCTCAAATTTCTAGCAAGGACAAAAACATGAAATGATTGAAATGATGACAAACAAGTGTTGAATGATTAAACAGCATTCAGTGTATATTGTTTTAAAAATAACATTTTATTTTGAAAGCATTGTCACAGAGGACTTTCTCTGTCTATTATGAGTTCATGTCTTTGTTGGTCCAGTAGATGGTTTGTCTTACCTTCACTTTGCGCACCTCATTGGCCTGGAACTCAGATGTACAGTTATGATGAATTATTCCAATCCCACCCATCAACTGAAACCAGACAATCAGAGATATTAGAGGAAATAATTAATTTATGAAATAACACCAAAAAAAAAATATTCAAGGCCTTCAGTGTTCTTGTGCAATTAAACTGTGGCACAGGATGATGTTGGTGTGTGTGAGGTTGTGCAGTGCTTGTACTCACTGCCATGGCGATGGCCATGGAAGACTCTGTGACTGTATCCATGGGAGATGAAATAAGAGGTGTCTTCAGGGTTATCTTCCTTGTTAATGCAGAGGTTAAATCCTAAAAAAATTGTAAATTCCGAAACAGAAGCAAAGCAAAATGAATCTAAAACATCTTAAATGTTATGCAATGACATGCTCAAAATGACTCCAATGGTGTGTTCGCTACAAAAGTAATCAACTTGATACAAACAACATCCCTACAGTGTTGCAGCTGCAGCACTCATTTGTCAACCAAATGTTGGAGTTTGTTCTTATTTTGAAGTGCAGTGAGCCTAAAAGCCAGTTTGGGAACATTAGAGAGTCTGACTTGTTGAATTCACCTGCTGAGTGTTCGATGACGCAGGTGTGTGTCTGTTTTGAACACCTGCTATCCAGCAATAACCCATGTGACATAAGCATGAAATTAATTTACTGTCCCAGCAGAGCTTGCAAAGACGAAAACAAAGCAAGCCAAATAAACAACCCTGTGCTCAAAGGAACATAACAAGGGATTACAGCAAATGCTGTCGGTGCTTGTGAATTATTGTCAGGAATATGAACTATGAAAATGTGTGACCCAAAGGAATGACGAATATAACTATTCATGTTTGTCCATAAAAATATTCTTTGTGCTATCACTTACCAACAAAATCAACAATATACTGAATACTTATGATGTGTTGGCCAGTGTTATGATACTCACCACCTCATCAGAAGTAAAGTCTATGAAACCAGGGAGGATCAAGAAGTCACTGAGAGGAGGGACAAAAAGAAAATATGGTCAGAGAAAATCTTGCTTTGGAACTGGAAAAGTATTACATAAATAAAATTATTAATCGACATTACAAACCTTAAACAAGGATTGTATGGCTTTTGTTGCGTATGTGTAACTGCACATATCCATTTCTAAAAAGCAGTCCTTTTTTACATTTAGCTGACAGACATACCAGACATAATCTGTCAGCCTTTCAACCCACTGAAATGTTCCGCATTTATCCTCTGCACACCGATAAACCCTGCATATAGCCTCCATTAAGGAAACTACACTGATACCCATTAACACACTGATATGTGAGTGTGTGTGAGCAAACGCACACACACACACACACACACACACACACACACAAACACGCTGCTTTTAATGTCTGTGACACCACTCATAGTCATTCTTGAAAGTAGCACTCATTATAATCCAACACATAAAACCCAAGCAGATGTGTCATCACTGATATTACTAAACATTTAATGGAAGTCATTGCATAATCCTAATGTGTGGTCTGTATGAGCACATGCATAAATACCATGTGTGCATGTGCATTGTGTCAGTGTGTTAAGTGTGTAATACCATAAAATGCATGGCCATAAAATGAGTCAGTCAAATGTGTGTTTTTGTCAATTCTTACTTGTATGTAAGTCCATCACCAATAGAAAATAGTTGTTGTGCTGTTAAACCATCTTCAGGAACATAACCTGTGCCTCCGCTGATCAGGTAGTCTGCCATGCTGAAATATAAAAACAAATACATGCACACATGACACAGCTAAAATATGAATGACTACATCTTAATATTTGCTGAAAAAATGACAATGAAAATGTGACACATTTCTATCACCTTAGCCCCACATCTCCATACAGCTACACTTGAATTGACATTGATAATAGTTCTTACAGATTCTGTTAATCAACATTTTATTAAATTTTTTTAACACTGTCTTTCATCCATTACTTCCCGTGATGGATGCATAAATACATTGTCACTAAAAATAACATGTTGTTTAGTCTTTCTGGAGGTATTAATCCCTTGGGCATACATGTTGTTTTGCTCGTCCCTCTCTTGACCTCTGTTTCTCACACTTGCACTGTAGCCAGATCCTATTACAAACGCCGGAGTCAAGACAGGAAATGCTAAACGAAAGGAATCCGTCCTTATCAATGGAAACTCCTTCTATACACCTATGACGGCAGTACAGTAGGTAAGAGGATTTGGTTGGCTGCCCAGGTTGCTGATCAATGGACGTGTAAAAGTGGACAACCAACGCTCCTAGAAAGTGAAAACATTATGGTTGCTGCTGGATAAACAATGTTTTTACGGGTTAGACAGTTTAGCACAATTACTTCTGCAAAAGTGAAGGGCATGACCTTACAGCATATTAAGAGTGGTCATAGACGGCAAGAGTATGAGACTGACCTCTCTGGTTCATATCCAGCTTGGATACGTGTAGCACTGTATCGCTGGGCTGCAGTCTCATGTCCATGTCCATGTGGCATTGGGTGGGCATAGGCCCCGTAGGGGTGAGGTTGTTCCCCATCTCTGTTTGAAATACGCGGTCGTGCTGGTTCCATGTCCCCTACAATCCTCCTGTAGTCAATTTGGTAAGTGTCCCTCTCTCCATCTCCAAACCGGTCATAACCATGACCCTCCATCTCTAGGAAATCCAGGGCTACAACCTCTACAGGGCCCCACTTCCCTTTCTCTCTACCTCTGTCTCGCTCACACACACACACACACACACACACGCACAGACACAATTCAAGCACTTCTGACTTGTTTCATACACACAAAGTCTCAGCAGCAGCTCTCAACAGACACACGGCAACACACTCAAATTGCTGTTCAATTATAAGCACTCATAAACCCCCAATGCTTTGAGTGCATGCTCACACAAAAACCTTTCAGACACACCTGACATGAGAGGAAGCTGCCTTGCCATCTGTTTTGTGGCCAGTGCAGCAGGTAGAACTGGCAAGAAATACAAGTTTTCACAAATTCAGGTTTTCAAAAATCCGAAAAATACAGAAGCAACAGCAACAAAAGTCCCTTAAAACAATGTTGTTTGCCCGAGGAGAGTTTGTATTCCACTTTGTCAGCTCTCATCCTTTGAGTTTGAGGCCATTAAGGCCCTCAGACAGGGGCACAGAGTTTTTAGCTAACCTGTTGATGAAGTTGACTACACCTGTATGTCCCTAGCCGGAGTCATGAGCAGCCGCTGGGAAGGACAGTCAGGTCTTGTTTAATAGGTAGCAGAGATTCGTCCCCCTGGAGGCCCTGAACGCAGTGCTGCTTGGTTATCTGTGGAGCTTCTCTCCCCTCCGTTCTCCCGATGCCTGCTGAGCTTAACTCTGTTTCTGACAGTAGCAGACGTCACTCTCCCACAAAGAGGATTGGAAGCATTAATACAGGATGGGGTGGGGTGAGATGGGTGTGTAGGGTGGAGTGAGGCAGTAGGACTAGGGAAGAGAAGGATGGGTCAAGATGACACTTCAACACACTTTTCCCCTCGGAGGATTATCATGGTGTAGAGGTGTGTGGGTTGTTTTTTTTTGCAGAGCTCAAAAAGACGGAGCTGTGAATGAGACAAAGGTCAAATCCCAGAATACTGTTACGCTTTGCTCCTTTGGAACAGAGGTCCATATTATTTTAGTAGTAGTACTCTAATAATAGTATAACAAAATAGGCTTATAAATACACACTCAAAGAAACTCATATTTTGAGAATACGGTTGGTTATATTTAATATTAGATTTTACCACCAACAATTTTAAAAAAAGGAAACAAATCTATTATTGGTTTTTAAAATCTTTACACAAGTCTTTTCTGTCTTTATAAAAGTAGTTTTGTCTTTATCAAATCACTGTTGGGACCATTATTCAGTTCAAGAGTAATGAACCACAAACCTGCACATTAAACTGAGAGACCAATTTGTTTTCTGGGGTGCCCTCGACACCATCATCTGCAGGTGACTGACTGACTGCTTGTGACAGTTACTGAGGGATTGAACCAGAAAAGCCTCTTACCATTCTCTCTCTTTCTCCCTCCCTCTCTCCCACTGGAGGAAACAAGCAACATCCCCCCTTCATAATATTAACAATAGCAAATATGTTTTTTGTTCATAGTTAATCCATTACGCCTACACAACACGTCATGTTACTCTTTCAAGTATAAAAGAAGAGAAGGTGAGGAGACCGAACTTTCTGGAAAAATATGTTTATTGAAAAAGATATTAATTAAAATATATATATATATATATATATATATATAAAAATATATAGTTTAGTTATTTAGTAACTGCAGGGAAATAAAATGTCAACAAATTGCATATATACAAATTAATAAAATAGATGGATTTTTCTTTAAAAAGATGTCTAAGTGTAAGAGGAAAGGCAGGGAGAGTCATTTAACATTTGTCCTTAAAATGCAGGAAGGCCACAGTTGCTTTCGAATTAGCCACCTGAAGGAAAAGAAAGTGAAATTAAAAACTTGAATAACTCATAGGTTAAACTACCATGTTTGAGTTTTATATTTAAAATCTCACCGAGTCTCTCCACTAGATGGGGCTGATGTTTTTTGAGGGCGTCGTAGAAGGCTGCTTTGACCTTCTCCCCTCCTGAACGCAATGTCCTCGTATACAGCGCTCTCATTTTACCCTGGCTTGTCTTTTCAGCTTCGATCACTGAGTAGGTTTCACTGTGGACCATGTCATCAAGCTCATCTACTACTGCCATTACGTCAGAAACGTCTTGAATTAATGTTTTCTTTTTTTCATCAACAAACTTTGCTGTTCGAAAATAGTAGAATGAAAAATAATAAGTCAAATATTAATGTGACCTTTCGTAAATTACAATATCATGTTCATCCAAAAAAAAAAGTTATGTGGAAATGTGAACAAAAATAACTTAATTAATTGTTATAACATAGAGCATCAGTACAGTGACAAAAGTACTCACCTTTATCTGCATCAATCATTCTTTCAGCAGGAACACTGACAGAATCCTGTTGCCAAAAATACAAAGCTTTTTTCAGTCTATATTGTGTAATGTATTATACAAGTGCATTGCTTAATATATTGTACACTAGTTTCAGAAAGCCAGTCTAAATTACTGAATGATGTGTGGTTTAATATGATAATAAAATACTAAGAATGCAATGCCCAATCCCCTTCAAAATAATATTCAATTAACGGTACGGTATAAATGTTGCTCATCTCAGGATTCAATGGGACCAGATTAAAATGACTTTGCTTAAATAATGTCATTTGTTTTCAACTTCCTGTCAGGCAAAGATCAAAGTGCATTTGACATACCTGCATGGAAGACATTTGAGTTGCTATAAATCCGACATCCACAACATCATTTGACTCTGACCTTTCTGAAAGAGAGAAAGAAACAACATATTTTACTGTGGAAAGTGAGGAATAACTAAGACATGAAAGCAAAATAAACCACAAATGGTATTAAACAATCTACCTAATCTCTGATGAGGAAAACTGAATGTTTCTGAATGTTCATTGCTGGTTGGTGACTCCTACAGTGAACCAGGGAGAAAATGTTATAAATCAGAGAAAGAAATACTAGTATTATGAATCATGTTTAATCAGGACTATATTTCATTTTCTGAGATGAAATGTAAAAGTAGTACCAGTCTTTTCAAGATTCGATTGACTGCAACACGGATTCCCTTTCTGTGCTTTGAGAGCACATTCTCAGTTACTTCAAGGCACTCTGAAATAGAAGCAAAGTTTCATTTTAATGTATTTCTTCACAAAGAATGCACAGTCATACATTTTAAACTACTCTACAAAAGCCCCTAAGAACCTAAGCCCATTTAAGTACATAGTAAACCATATAGTAAGTATATAGTTATACCATATATACAAATAAAAACAACAGCAACAACAACATAAGAAATATCTACCTTTAAATTCAGGCCTCGCACTGGGTGTCTTATCCCAGCAACTCTTCATGAGCTTAACTATCTCTTCCAAGCCGTCTGCTTTTGTCTGGTCAATTTCCTCTAAGTCAGGTCTGTCCCCCATAGGGATCCTCAGAGCCACAAGACTGTAATCAGCCACTACAGTACATATAGTGACACAAAGAAGTCATGCATCAAAATGTGCAAACACCACTGAGGTTTTGTATACATGTTAACTGGACATATATCGTATGTACAGTGCTTGGTTCAGAGCATGAAGTGATAAGTTATGAAGGAAACAATAGAGAGATCAAACAAACTAAAAAATATGGTAAGATATGATTTAATTGACTAAAAGACAGAAATGCCAACAAAAGAATGGTAAGACAACAAAATAAACTACACATACCTGAATATGGGTCTTTACCAGTAACAATAGACCAGAGTAGGATGCCATAGCTGATTAACAGAGAAAGAATATTTAGTAACGTGTTAACACAGTATACATACAGTAGTATTCCTATTGATAAGTATTGTTTTTAATGTTAACCTGTATCTGTCAAAAGCACGGCAAGGTTTGTATGATGCCTCAAAAGCCTCAGGAGGCATGTACTTGTATGAGCCTCCGTCCACTCCGGTTGTTTCTCTGTTGCTGTTCAAAGCACTGGTGGAAACCCTGGAAAGACCAAAGTCTGCTATCTACAGAGTAAAAAGAGACATATTACATAAAACAAAGAATAAAATCATCTTTATATTTAATGTGAACATAAGAGTTTATGTTGGTGGTTCTCTACCTTGGCGTGAAGCTCATCACTCAGCAGAACATTACTTGGCTTTAGGTCGTGGTGAATAAGTTTCTTAATATGGAGGAAGTTCATGCCAAGAGCCACTTCATGGGCCAAGCGGAAGGTCAGGGGCCACGGTGGAGGGCCACGCAGGTAATCCAGCAGAGACTGAACAGATCCTCTTCTCATGTACTCCATCACTATTCCCTGTTGCAAGGCTGTTTCTCTAATTGGTGGACATCCATGATACAGTGCATAAAGCCTTAGCACAAACTCACAGGAAGCCTCTTTCATGTGATCAGCCTCATTGTGCAGTGCTTTTTCATTTGGAATGAAGGGGCTGGAATGAGGTAAGACAATAGAGAAGTGAAGAGAAAGCCAAAGATACAGCACTACTATTTGACAAGTATGGCAAGCCAAAGAAAGATTGCAGATATTTATACATTTACCAAACACCATCACGAAGTATCTTAATGGCCACATCAAACCCGAAGTCCTTGTGTCTGACTTTGTAGACTTCACCAAATCCCCCCGAGCCAAGTAACTCCCATTTGTCCAAGCTTTCGTTTCCAACAGGCTCAGTCTTGTATTTCAGCAGTGCCATCTCCTGCTGAACTCAGGTAGAACAACTGCAGTATGTGATAGAAATAATCACAGAAAATTGAAAAAAGCTGCAAAACATTAAATAAAGTGGTTCAGTGACTGCTTATATGTTTGTTTTTATACACTACATTGTTATTACTGCTTACATTGATCACTGTATCCTTGCTTTTATACTCTCATTATAACAAGAGCAGGTTTAAGGTTAGAAAGGTACTGAGACGTTTTCCAATAAAATTACCCTTATGTTAAACAATTCAGTTATGTTTTGTTTGTGTTGTATTATCAAAAAACTGGCTTCCACTCACCATATATGCCTTCACGTCTTCTCTTAAGAGTTTAGTTCGTACCAAACCTGTGGCAAAACATGCAAGTTTCCTGTTCCAGCTCTCTGGGCAACACCCCTGGTGCCTGCAGCTAGCTGAGGGGAGGAGTTTAACTGAAGAGAACTTGACTTGGGCAACATATGTGTAGACTGTAACTGAAAGTGTTGAAAATAGTGTGGGTCTCAATACCTGATGGCGTAACAGAAAATGTAAATAAATGTAATTGTGTGAAAAGCTGAATGAAAATGCTTTTAGCAAAAAAGTTTGACTGTAATTTTATATCAGGTATGGTGTTTGTTGCTCAAATCACAACCAAAGAAATGCCTCAAATAACATACAACAACAACAGACTCATCGCCAGTACTGATGTTTCCTGTGGTGGACTTAAGTTCCAGTTACAATCTTTATAGTAGCAATAAAAATGCTGTGAAGGTGAATGCATTTTTTTTTTTTTTTTTTGTTCTTTTTTACTTCCTTATGAGTGTCTGCAACCAGACTGCAAGAGGAAGTTATGAAGAGCAGACTGGGTGGTAGTGTGGTAAGAAAAAAAACACATTCAGAATAAACCTCTTATCTTTTATGTCAGAATGTCGTGATTTGTGAGTCTGCATCATTCATATTAGTCACTACTGTGTGAACCATAATATATTTGAAGAATAAGCATGTGATTTCTTATTCAAGGACCAGTGTGTAGGATTTAGTAGCATCTAGCAGTGAAGTCACAGATTGTAACCACCTGAAAACCACTCGCCTTGCAAGCGTGTAGGCAGGCTGTGTAGACTATAAAATTTGTCTATAGTATAAAAGTATACATTTTAATGCATAGTGAGAACAACAATAATCACTTAGGAAATAATGTCTGTGCCAGCACACAGATGGAAATTGTGTGATTTGTTTTGTTTTGGGGATTTTTACTTTTGGGTGTGGGGTTGGATGTTAAATTTGTTGGTTGGTCAAAAATTTTCAATACCAAGGAATAAAGAGGTGCTGAAGAGTTTTACTTGGAAAATTACAATTTGATTCAAACTTATTTCGTTGCAAAAAATGCTAAAACAAAACACTAACATGTTCCACCTAACCAGTTGTTGGAAAGGACAGGCACTTTCAAATAAATACTTCACAAATGAGATTGGCTTAACCACCATCGACGCTAACCTCTTTAGCAGCCATTGCTGTTCTCTGTGATAGATGTTGTTCCATCTAACACACGTTGTCACACACACCTGGTTTAAAACCACGCCAGTAGCTCATGCAGCTACACTGCTAGATGACATTAAATCACACTGGACCATTAATAACTCAAATCTTTTTATTATTTTTAGCTCCATGAAAGAGAGAAATTTAAATTCAAAAGGTGTATGATTGTATTTTTCTGTTTAATAAGAAAAACAACTCCATCCCTCTCTCTGCTTTGCATGTGTGTGTGAGAGTAAGTGTGTGAAAGAAAATGTTTTATTCCAATAAACATAACATAAATATATTTAACTTTTTTTTCTGGCAGCAGATGATGGACAGAAAGAAGAGGGTGCAGCAGTGGATGGAGAAGAACAGTGCACACACAACAATGAATGAGCAGTAGGCTATATTAAAATAGTGGGTGTGTTAATACTAATGATAATTACTAACAACTACTAATATTTTAAAGTTAAAAGTTAGATTAAAACATGTATTTTTAATGTAAATAAGGTGCCAGAATACACAGAAAAATAATTTAAATTTAGAGGGTGTTAACCAAATAAAAATGTCTGGGGGAGGATCTCCATCTAACCCCTATAGAAGTCCTGAATGTCCCCAAATACAGGAAACACCCCTGGTAGACACCTAACAGACTTTTTAAGAAGATAGAACAGCTCATTCTATGGTAACAAAAATACACTATTCTTATTTATGTGATTATACTCTAATGAAAACATATCTAGAGTATTATATTCCTTTCTGCCAATAGATCCTCCTGGTACACCCTGGCTAACAAATGACAGTATTTTCTTGTAAGTAAAATGTGAATTTTTAATTTATTCTTAGTTCTTCCCTCTGAATAATACCTGCCCTTTGCTTTGGCTTTGTACACCACCCACAGAAACATGCACGTGTATATACATTTGCTCACAATGGAGATAATTACATTTTGCCAATATAATGCAGAGCTGGTTGATTGTACTGAGGCTTGCTTTCATTCCGGCTATAACAATTCATCTGTCGTATGATTACGTGATTTTTGACTTTCTTTGTATCTCCTTCCCATTACTTATCTTTATCTGATGCTCTCTCTTGAACACACAAGACAAAAGCCACGCTAAGACTCTTTCTGTCTAAATTATTAATGATAAAAACTGATCCCAGTCTGGAGCACAGGTATCTGTGAACATGATAGCTACCATGGATCTAAATCAGATGTGCACAATCACACATGCACACCCCATCCATAAAGTGAGGTGAGGTACAATTACTCACATCCCTCGCTGCCTTGCTGTTGCAGCCGGCATCGATAGGCGCGGTCTGCTCTCGCCTGCTGCATTTCCATTGCTCTTTCCCCTCCCTCTTCCCCACCCACCTTCATTTACTCTCAGCACAGTGTGGACCTCTTTCACCAGTGGCTGCTCTCTCCACTACATCTCTACATCTCTGGCTGCCTTTTACACCATCCTCTGTCATTTGGAAACTGTCTATTATACTCTCCTTTATTTGCTTCCCTCTCTGCCCTTGTCTCGTGCTGATGATATATGAGGGAGGGGATTAGTCTAAAGGGGATCTCTCTACGCTGGATCTCTGATTGGAGAGGTGAGGTGAGGCTTCTGTCTTTCCCATCACAGTGGAGGAGTACTTTAGACTGGGGAGCATCACTGATGCAGGTTACATCCTCTGGAGCAGCGACAGGACAGCCTCAGGAGAAAGACTGAAACCCCACGTGTATGCCTGGATGTGCTTTGTGTTGTGAGCAGAGTAGACTGAAAAAGGGAGGCTGAAGGCAGCAAAAGAGGGAGGGGAGCATATAGCAAGAGGCACCCGAGTCACAGGGGTTTGGGGGAGGTGGGCGTGGGGTCTGCGGGGAGTGTTTTAAAAGTGAAAAGAGAAGTGTGTGTGTGTGTGTGTGTGTGTGTGTGTGTGTGTGGGAGGGGGGGGGGGGGCTGCTTTGCTCTCAGATCAAAGAACTGGAAGAAGGAGGGTAGCGTTTTGCTCAGTCTGAAGAGTCGCAGAGAGACAGGAGAGTAGGCTCTCCAGAGACTGTGACATTACAATCAGAGACCAGAGACTGTCTGCAGCACTGACTGAAAGACACAGGGAGGTGGTTAAGGACACAGGGGTGGGACGGCCAGTCAAAAGACTTCATCTGGACAGAGATGAGCTTGGTTCCTGGGTGAAGACTCAGAACAAGAGGAACAAGGAAGAGGATAACGAAGAGAGTCCCCCAAGGAAATTGGCGACGTTCCCTTTTCACAAGAATCTATAGAGGGATCCCATCATGGCTGTCCAACTCATGCCTGAATCAGCCGTGTGCTTGCTCATGGTGAGTTTCGGAGGGGTATAGTATTTCCAAAACTGTTTAACTGTCTGTCTTTGTTTCTTCCTTTCTCTGCTGTGGCTTTCTCTCATCACTCTCTCCGCATAGCAAATGCCCATGCAGCCACTAAAGCAGGAGGTGAGATGGCATGTCACTAATAAAGGGATGTTGCTTGTTTGCTCCTCCCCTTTACTACAAGTCTGAAATCCTATGATAACTTCCTAGTGATGCTCAGAGGTTGCTTTCCATACTAAAGAAACATGTGTCTTTTGCATCCAACTCTGAAAACTCAAGCTTTTGTCTAACTCCTCCACGTGTTCAACTGCTGCAGTGGTCAAGTGTGGGAGAAATACCTCACAGACTATTGCAGGCATATGGGGGGGGGGTAGTGCACAGTGTCTGTGCATGTTGGAGACGGATGTCATTTAATGTATCTTAGTATATGGTTGTGTGAGCAAAATGATTTGTGCATGTGCATGTATATAAGTTGCTCTGTGTGTGTGTAAGTGGTTTAAGAGAGAGAGAGAGAGAGAGAGAGAGAGAGAGAGAGAGAGAGAGAGAGAGAGAGAGAGACATAGGAAGATCAGTGTGCAATCATTCCCCATCTTCAAGACTGAATGAATTCAGTTACACATTAGAGAGAAAACTGTTTCTCTGCAGCCCATGGCAGAGAAATTGTAGGACCTTGTTAGTGTAGAATCCAGTCCCTCACTGACATAAAACATACTGGCTTGGCTTGGCCTGGTTCAGATCTGGCCATAGAGAGCGATGAAATAGAAACACACAACATGCTTAAATCCATTGAACTCCTCTTTTCCCTCTGTCCAGCCGCATAGTGAAACAATGGCAGTGTGGCTTTGCTGCGTGTGTAGAATACAGATAAGGCATGGACCCCTCTTATAATAAGCTTCAATGAATTGAATGTACACCCTGTGCGCAGGGTGACTTTGTGTAAGGAGTGTGTTCTGTTCATTCTCATTCTATAGTGTTGGCATTCTGCAGTCCCAGGGGGAGTCATGCATCGCCGCACTACCTGCTATCTCCACCTGTCATGGCTGTCTGTTACTATGGCGATAGGCCATGCACCCCGCTCGAGGGAGAGGCAGCAGTAAAAGGAGCAGGGTGAGAGGAGAGGGCATGAGATGATGGACAGGGCAAGAGAAAGCAAGGTGAAAAAGTTAGTGTAAGTGAGGAGGGCAGGAATAGAAGGAGATGGAATGAATACGAAAAGGAGGTGGATGTGAAAGTGGGCTTTTATTTCCACAGAAAGGGGCACACTACTACAAATATTATCACCTTTACAGTTGTACCCAACAAAATACATTCATCCTTAAGGCAAAAATAGGTTCATGCCGCATCGTCTCATATCGCTGGGAGACAGCTGGTGTCCCTTGACTCCATTTTACACTGCCTCTGCCTTAGCAAATAGCATTAGCATAGAGGGCGTTCCCTTACAAGTGCTCTTACTGTCACAACTGTCAAACCCCTTGCTGTCACCCCAGCGCACACGGGAAGACTGGCTTACTGTCACAACTTTTTACTGTCACTGTTCCATTTATTATAATAGCCGCACATTTTCGCACCATTCACAGCCACTCTTCACTAGTTGGTAATGAGCAACACACTTCATATGTGCCCCCACTGGTTCTTTTGGTGTTTTCTTTGGTAGGGATTTATTCATGGCTGTTAAGCGCTCTAAGGCTAAGGAATAACATGACTTAAATCTGTTCAGTGTGGACCTTTCCTCTAAATACACGTTCAACAAGATTGACATCGGATCATTTTAGAGCTTTTTTTTTTTTTTTTTTTTGAGCACAAAATCCATGGCAGTTGTATTCACGCTGACTTGTTCAGAGCTTGAACCCATCTTAATTATTAACGTGGGTTTATGCACTGTGTGTGTGTGTGTGTGTGT